TCGTACTTTTTCCCACACAATTTTCCCACCTAAATTTCCCTACTATTCGAGACAACAGGATGACGTAACGTGATTTCACGTTGCATGCCTGTGCCATTTTTGCCTATAACAGTAGTAATAATGACAAAAGTAGATTTTTCATTTATCTTCAAATGAAGTCTATCTAACAACTTTTTCGTTATTATACTTACCGCTGCTCCCATGTCTAGGATGGCAATCATCATCTTGTTTCCGATCCACACATAACATTTGGCGACAGTTGTTTTTGGGACATCTACTGAACTCACTTGATTCGATTCAGCTGGAGGTTTGGCTCTTTTTAGTATTTTTAACAAGTTACATTACTGGTCAATATATTTCAACAACTGCCCATATGTCGCATTTGCTTTCATTGACAAGATGTCCTCAGAAATGTTGTATGGTTCCAGTTGATTGACTACCGATGGCATTTTCTTCTGCCTAGGCTTCCTGGTAACACCAGATACCTTTGGGGTTTCACAACTATCATTGGCTCCTGCATCCTTATATGCTTTGGCACCCTCCATGATTCATCCACACTCTCTTTTTTTTGGAGTCTTGGTTGCCTCCTCTTCTTTACCACTTGTGTCGCAGCCCCTAGCGTATACGCTTCCTCCTCGTAACAATACTGCACCTTTGATCATGGTCTTTGCAGATTCCTTCGACATTCTTTTCCCAAGATATCGTCGCGCGATGTGCCCTTCCTTTTCATAGCTATAACAGATTAAACTTCTCCTTTCCCAGGGTTTCTGCTCTTGCTGGGGCTCCCTTCATGGGTTGGTATGGCTCAGCATAAGCTCTTTGACTTTTCGTTCTAGCCTCTTTATATTATCTTCTAGTTGCTTTATCGCATCCTTTATTCTTATCCTAGTTTGTCACTCATAATAGTTTCCTGCCTCCGCTTTTCGTGCCACTTCGATGGCTTTCCCGAGGTTCTTTGACGACGTCATGATTACAAACGTTGCGGTGTTACCCTTTAATCCGTTCAAAAATATTCTAACAACGTAGTTATCCGGAATCGTCCCTTTTGGGTCCACCCTGGTAAGTAAATATTTAAACTTTGCTACATATCTGTTTATCTTCTCGTTATTATGTTGATTTAATTCATTCAATTCTATCTGCCATCGATGTCATCTTTCTGACGTAACAAAGTATTCTACTAGAACATGGTAAAAACTTTATGTATGGTTTGTATTGTCCCTCCATTCTTTGATTACATCTTTGTTTTCTCTGTACCAATTAGCTGCCAGCCCTGTCAGATATCCAGGAGCTACTCTGAGTTTCTTTTCGTCCTTCCAGTCGTTTACTTTTGCCACCCATTCAAATTCTTCCAACTATTCCACCGGATCGTCATCCTCTCCTTTGACAAATGTCTTTGCTCTTGCAGGATTGGATCCTTATACTTTATTTGACTTATTTACTATGTTGTTGAGAGACTTAAACATGCCCTGCATAAATTGCTGAAACTGGTTATTGTTTATTTCTGGTCCACATGATGAATATCTATTACAATGCGATTTGTAATTTATTTACTTTTTATTTCTGGATAGTTTTTTTTTTTTTGAATTGTTTATTTTAAGATGACCATTTTAATAAAGGATATCGTATTAGTAAATTGCGAAATAATGTGTTTGTAATAATATACTGTATCAGACTATCGAGAGTAGTGAGCGTCGTATATGATAAAATCGGGACGTATTGCGTTTTTAAAAAAAAAGATCGGGGGGAGGGGGGTAGTGAGCGTCGCAGTAGTATGTGATTTCTCAGTTATTACCAAAAAATATGTATAGGGAAATTACAGCAAGTCAGTTGCTTTGGTTTGTCTCACGCTGTATAACAATAGGATCTCATTTCTGCTCAAAAAAGGCATGTGAATTTGTCAGAGTTTGTAACACTGACGCAGATCAATCCGTCAATCTTGCATCCTCAATTGTTACTTCCTTGTGTAGCAATTCCATTAGCTACACATACTGGAGTATTTTCACAAGACAGTTTATTAATAAAGACAGTTTATTAATTATCTATTACGCAGTACCTATCCTAATTGT